CTGGTTTTAAGCAACATTGCAGAACCATCTACAAAACAGAGCCCTGCTGTGGCAGGCAGATGTGAAAGTGCTGCTGAAGCCATTTGACCAGCAAGGAGGAGATGTGAGGTTTCTGGAATGTTCCACTGATGGGCCAGACCCATAGACATCAACTCTCACGGAGTAACAGCTCAGGGAGCACCTTCTTTGTGGGCCATCCGAGGGTAACAGGCTGTAGAAATCCTCCAGGCAACTGAACAGCCCCAACTTTGCATGCCAGCACTGCTTTGTTATCAGGCCATCTGCCAGGTAGATGAGCTGGCAGAAGATCACACAGGTACAATGAAAACCTTCTTGTTTTCCAGCACAACTTCCTCAGAATAGGCTGACACCACGTGGCTTCTCAGCTTTGCCTGAAATCCAGTGGAAATATGTTCGCCTGGAACTTCTCCAGTCAGCACTACAGAATAATCCTGACCAACACCTGCAGGCTGAGATAATGTTTGTGGGCACCAATTTCTGTGCCAATATATGTTTTCATATCCATTTTATACTGCTTATGAATATAAGCAGAGCTAATTGGTGAAAATAATACTTTGGAAAGTTTAAAGGGATGTTTTTTAATAACCTTTAAAGTAGCTTCTCTTGAGAGGTTTTCATTCACCAGACTAAATATTTAATGTTGTATGACTGTCCTTGTTTTTAAAGAAATATTTTAATGAACAAATTGAGTAATGATTTGCGAACCATTGATTGTCACAGGAGTAGCACTTTAGAGGTCATTAAAAGAGAATCACTTATGCTAAAGGTGGAATACTCAACAGGATTTTTGAGCCTGTACTGTAATTCCAGACTCCTCCCAGCTCTGAGTTTCAGGAATTCCATGTAATATAGGATTTGTGTTTTCTAAGACACAGCATTGACAGTTTTCCAGAGAATATTTTTAATTGCAAAGAAGTCCTTTCTCCTGGCTGTGCTTTTATAATTTTACTTTTTTCTTAGTTTTACATATATACGTATAAATATTTATACATATATATAGAAATATGGAAACACAAGGACCAACTAGCCATAGAAAATAAATTATGAATTAAAATATAGTGATTTAGCAGCATGAAAAAAATTGTGCGATCAACTTTTCTAATTAACTGGTATGTGACTAAAAAAAATGCAGCTAGTTTATGGAGTTGGTTGGTTTGGAGAAAAGAGAAGATGCTAAATGGTTGACTTTGTTACCCTATATTTTGACTTTTTATTTCCTCTTTTCAACTCTGATTAAGTTACCCCTACTAAATTTACAGGACTACAGAGCAGAATTAAGTCCTCCACATGAAAATCTCTAGAACAAAAAAAATAAAAAAAAACCCCACAGCATAAGGAATTAAAATCCAGGCATGTCAGTATGGAAATAGCACTGGAAGCTAATGGTAAGGGGAAGGTTTTCAGATAAAGAACATCTGTTTCATGAGAAATGCAAAAAATAAAACCAAAACACCAAAAGAAACAAACAAAAATCTCATTAAATGCATGTGTACAAAACAACAAAAATGAGGCTCTGATCCTGCTGTTAGAGATATAGAATGTGATACTTTGCATCATCTTCTTTTTTCTACTCTTTTTCTTTCGCTCACTTGGTCTTTGCTTCTTAGGTGTTTGTTCATATAGGACCAAAAGCAAGAGAAAACAAAAGGATTTACCTCAAACCAGTAATGTATCTAGAGAAGTCTCAATTCATGCAGAAATCAAAACCATCTTGGGGATCCTGAGAAATCTGCTCTCAGTGTTACAGCTATTAGTACCCATTCAATGGTCACAGTCCAAGATTTTGGAAAATTTCCCTATTGTGCCATTCATGAGCATAAATTTCACTGTGCCATTGCTTAAACTTAGCTATCATTTCAGAACTTGCTTGACTCAAGAAGGATATTCAAGTAGATGGTTTAATGCTTCCCTAAGTGGGATTTTTTCTTTCTCTCTTTTTTCTTCCATAAAAGTGGCTATAAGTTTTCTGCCATTCAGTAGATTCTTGTCAGAACATGATTTCTTTCTTTCTCAAATCTGTCTAATAACTTGTATTTTAATAATGGCTCACTGTTAGTATCTACTATTACATCTTAAATAATCCCATGATAGTTCAGGTGCTGTTGTTCCTATCAAAAAATTTATGGCCTCTTGAAAACAATCAGCTATTTTAACATGTATCAGATGACTCAAAGCACACACTGAGCAGGAGTTCAGTTAGGTTTGGGTTTAAGGATGCCACCCCACTTTTCCAAAATGAGTGGAGTTTTTTTCACAACTTTGATTTGCTGGATGGGAATAATATTGATCTTTGAACCTGCCTAAGTTATGCCATAATTAGTTAGTTTTTCTCTCATTTTTAACAAAGTTACAGTTATACTTTACTGCCCAAAATATGTGGAAGAGTTGAGCTATGTAGACTGTTTCAGTGAAGCTCATTAGAATAATCTTCATTATAATGGAATGAATAATCTCATTCTGAAAGCAAAGAATTCAAGAATACAAACACTTCAAAGTGAACTTCAAGGGAGAGAAGACTGAGCTTAGTTATCCTTCTAGCAAAATCTTCAGGTTGCCAAAACCTGCCAAACTGTCCAGATCCAAATCCCAAATCACATTTTGGCATCTCAGATGAGCACCTGAGGATCAAGATTTACCCAGAACTCACATTTTTAACTCCAATTTTCTCCACATAAACAGGTGTATGCGGAAGCAACTTCATTTGAGGAGTCAAGGGCTTTGCACAATTGAGGCCCAAAGCAAGAAGTACCTACATGAGAAATCGGAAGACAAAGTTATGGGAGGCCACAAACTTTCCGTATTTTCCTCATTTTCAAAGCAGTCTTCAGCTGTTAGTGAATTAAACACTCCCAGCATTCCCATTACATTTGTACCCCAATAGCCACTCTTCCTCTCAAAGGTCAAACTCCCTGTGTCCAAAACTTCCCAGTATAGCAGGATGCTCTAACCTTCCCTGGTCTGGCTTAACTTTCATTAACTGCACTTGCTCAGCCCAGAGCACAAGCCTCAGCCTGGGCATTTTTGTCTGAAATCATACCAGGGGGACCTACTTTCTACTTTTTATACAGATCCTAGTGATTAGATTATTAGAGTAGCAGAAGACTTGAGATCATATCTCTTTTCACTCTAAACAGTTTTGACACTGTAACTTCCACTTCACAGAAGAAAATCCAAGTTGCCAGGCTACGGGAAAGAAAATTGACCACTCTGCTTTCCCAAGCTGAGCAGATGAGTAGCAAAACCAGGCCAGAAGCAGGGCAAGTGGAAGGTGTTGTGATGTGGCAACATCAGGAGTGAGGGCATACAGAAATAAGCAGCATGGGTTCTCCTTTCCCTAGATAAATCTGGGAGTTTAATTCACCGAGTGAAATATAAAAACTAAATGATTGCATTAACTGGAGCTGCATTAAATGTCTGAATTAGAATGTATTATTTTAAGAGAACATAACTACAAGTGGTAATCTAAGTATAACTGTAACCACGCAAAGTGTGTAATTGAAATAGAGCACTGTGTTGGCAAAACATTCCACTGTTGCCGAGCTCTCTGCTGCATGGATCAAGCAAGCAGCAATTGTAAAGCTTCTGCATTAACTTACTGAGCTCCTATCTCAGCTCGTAGAGGAGAAGCCAGTCACACTGAAGACAGCTCAGATAAGTGTTTCTGGAAGATTGACATGTTGTTCCCAACTCTCTTGTCTAATTAAAGACCAAAAACATTATTCTACTGACGCTGATGGCACTATTAACTTGACATCAAAGGGAATGAAGATTTGCCATTCTTTCATGGAGAATTATTTTTACCATATGATTAAAAAAGAGCAAGGTAATTCACAATGCATCATGTGGTAACACTTCATGTCTAGGTGACACTCCAGTTCTGTAGTGCCAAAGAGGTCCCACCTGGAGCCAAGAGATCAGCTCAATACTGAGGTTGCAGTATCTGAACCAAGTTGCAGTCACCTCCAGAGATCCCAGCTCTGACAAGAATCCCATCCTGCTGTGCAACTGGCAAATGTGCTAAAAGACTGAGGAGCTTACAAACTAAATAAACAGGGATAAAAAAAAATCTCCATTGTGTAGATAAGAATTGAAGCACATGCAGAATGGCTCACCTGAAGTCACAGAGTCGAGTTCCAGTAAAGCAAGGGAAAGATTCCCAGGGGGACCATTTGGATGCAGGTGGCACTTTGTCCTTCATGATAAAAATTTTGCTTGGATCTCCTGGCTTTATTCTATCTTATGTCATCTCTAAAATAAAGAGAAAACAATAAAATGAAAAACCTCCTTTCTCCAAATTCTGTACCGAGTGCTTTGTGTTGTCAGAGTGTAACTGAAGCTAACTTACAAGCAGGGCATAAGCTCTTCATTAGTGAGAGAACTGTGAAAAATCAGGCATAACACCTGAGTCTGGGGAGTCT